ATGGAGTCGCTAATCATTTCATTTGTTTTTAAAACCAATGAAATTCTAGTATGTAAAAGAAGAGAACCAACAGAAATGTACAGCGGTGATATTGCAGATAACTAAATCAGGGACGAGGCTAACTGTAAATAATTATTTTAGCAACCGAAAGGCCATATTTCCTTCTTATTTTTTTGAACACTGACCTCATTACGTTCACAATACTCACAACTACAGGCAGGTACAAGCACATAACTTATAATACATGATAGTTGATGGTCAAACGAAAGCGCTTGATACAAGTATCATCGACTTAAACTTTACTTTGCCACCCAACCAGAAGTAAATCCAAAACCAATCGTGACTCGCTCACACTCCTTTTCCCGCGCTTCGCGCCAGCTACATGTATTTTCTTGGAGTTTTGATTGGCTCACTGGATTGTCTGTGCCCTTTGTGATTGGCCAGAGTGAGCACTTTGGTTTCGTTTTGACGATACTCAGTTGAAAACCGCTGTGTTATCTTCAATAATGAAAAGTAAATCTTAAGATTACGTTAGTACATGCTCAGTCACAGCTATATAACTCACTTTATCATTGACGAACACCGAGCAAGCCGAAACGGCAGTGCTTTGGTTTAGTTAAAGAGTTTGTTTTAAAGATTTTACTGCAAGTTCTGCAAACTATTAGCGTGCGCATGTGTGGTGGTAACTCAATCGACCAGGGGTCAGACAACTTCCCCTGAGCTGCCTGAATTACGCTCTAGATTCTAATACAACGAATAAAAAGGAAGACCAGAACCACCGCAGATTTACAGCGGTGACAGAGTACATAACTAAATCCCATGTCATGTCATATTTAAGAAAGAAGGCGATCATAGACTGAGAGCTTCAAACACTCTTCAGTTTTATCAAACGTTACTTCACATCATTGATGCAAATTTCGAGCACACACAAGCACGTTAAACTGTTTGTTTTAAAATGCCTCGCTGACTTTACAAACAAAATGGAATATTAAATCTTTGAGCCAGAACCCTCATCCTTGAATAGATAACATCCCAGTCCAGAGAAAATCCCTGTAGAAATCGGCTTGATGATTCTGTAATTTTGAACGCGGATCTTCCATGCAACACGCGGCTGTTATTGAACGTAATTACGTCACCGGGCACCATTTTGTGCTCTATTTGATTGGCAGGGTCTCTTAGCATTCTACCAATGGTGAGGTAACCCGCGTACAGTTGAATGGTTTTCTCTGGTGAAGTGCGCATGACGGAATCACGCACGTGATTGTTTAAAGCAAATCGGATAACTTGTTCATTCTCGTCCAACCTGTTAGAAAAAAATTAGGAAAAAGAGTATCCTGTCACTTGAGGATAAAGATAGCCATACTAATATATAGATTTAGCCATGCCTAAAAGCGGAGCTCCTTGGCCGGGTTGTTCACAGCCTGATTAAGCTAACCCAGGATAAGCGAGAATTTTGATTTGATTTTTTTAATCTTTGCGGCCTGCTTTACGGTGAAGTTTTTCTGTTTTATTGTTTAGTCTCTCAAACTACACAAAACATTATCCTGGGCGTTAACGTTAGCGTTAACCGGCTTCCGAACAAACCACGTAATACTGGTTAGCGGATACCTTGTTTTGACCGGTGCAATAAACAAAATGACGTCTGTCTTTCATGCGTCCGTCCTGTTATTGATCATGAAATTCGTCATAACATTGTCAAAGTAGTTGTAGATCCTCTGCGAATATATGACTGTTAACCGAGGTTGCACACCTCGGGCAACCTAGCTGGAGTATGGCCACCATGTTGCTCGACGTCGTTTTTCGTCGTACGCGCCCGCAATCCATGCCACTAGCCATGTTGAGCATGAAAAAAGAGTTGCATGGTTTCTATTTCTATGCATACATGTGGCTGTGCTATTATTTGGTGTACGGCGTTCTTGCATTCGATCTGAAGAAAGCACGAGTTGTCCTCATATTTCAACTACTGTATGCATCTTTTATGACCAGCCTTACTAGATTTCGAAAGGTTTTCCTCGACTTCAAAGCATTAGCTTAGGTTGGTGTGGTGCTAAAGGTGTTTTCGTATACCATTACTTTATCACTCCTACATACTTAGAAGTTTTAATGAGGCTTGTATTTATCGAAGTTCGCAGCTGAATTCCGCTCCAAACTTATATTATAACCTCATTCCGTCCAAGGTTTGCATTTGGATTGACAATTCCTGTCAATCGAATTGACAATTCACAGACACATTTGGAAATTGCAAAGCAAAGTTCAAAAGTTGCGCGCTCATAATAAAGTCTAGGCTTTAAAAATTTGTACCCAACTTACTCTATCATGAGACGAGAAAATTTCTTGTTAAATTCACCAAACATGTCCTTCCCAAAGTCAACGAACTGAAATCGAGTGGTTGTCAAAATATTAAAAGTCTCTGGGTCGTTTTCTTTCAACTGCTGCGCGACGTAAAAACCATCCACAAACTGGTTGGCGCCTCCTGCACTGGACGCTTGCTCGATACAGTGAAGCATTTGCACCTAAACAAAAATCATCGCAAAATACTAATCAAGGATGGCTGCAAGCTATGTTTCCTACAGTCAGACACCGCAAGATATAGGTTGCCTTACGTAGCAAGGGTCAATCGAAATTACTGCGGCTGAAGTTGATTACTATGGTAACGTGTTAGACTGTGTGTAGATTGTTTTTCCTTTGGAACACCAGGTAGGGGGCGAGGGTTTGAGGAACGAAACAAGGGTTCGGCCGTCAACCTCCCCCAGTCCAGTCCTCTTTTCTTGCGTTCGCGTTCGCAAGGAAAACCGCTCGTCTAAGGGAAAACCCAGACTGCAGGCAGTCTAGTAACGTTTGGTAAAGGTAAAAGAATAAAATGGAAAAAAATATTTTTGGAAAGTCTAGTTTTCTTCTTTAAACCCGGTTCTCACAAGGTCTTGTAATAATGACACTGCTACTGCTTTTGTTTGGTCAGCTAATTAATCCATCCTTTTTTGACTGGTCTCCCTTTTTTCACAAATAGTGACCTAGCTACCAATTTTATTAAGTTACCTGGCTTACCTACCCCTACTACATCTTCACCGGTTTATCGCTGTAGTGTCGATCAAACAGTGAAAAGGTAGTAGGGTTTGAAATAGCAGCCGGCATTTTGATGGCATTTGCCGACGACTTTATTCCCGAAGAAATAGTCGCTATAATGTTATTCAAATTGAAGCACAGACTTCAGAAAAAAGAGGCCTCGAAAACGTAGACTACTCGTCACGCAATCACCACACAATTGTAGTAGATTCGCTGTTTTAATAATAATACGAAATAAATTAAACATTCC